CGATCCCCCGTACTGTATGCCATGCTGGCTCTGGCAACCTGAGCATGGTAGCATCCACCTGTGATCCCAGTGCTGGGGAGGCTGAGACAGGAGGATCACTGAAAGTCTAAACTGTGAACTGGGACCCTGTATCAAACAATAATAATAAAAAAAATACATCGTGGGCATTTAGCGTTTGTGAAATAGGAGCTACAGATATTAAGTGGAATTAAAAACTAGACCCACTTAACCTAAACCCCAAATTTTGTTGTTAGATGAAAGAGACATAAAATTACCCTAAACATTTCTGTAAATGCTTATAAATGCTCTCAGTCCATTTCAGTATTTATATCCTACTAGCAGCCCATATATTAGCCAGCACTGGTCCATGACCCGTGTCTTAAGGAGCCCTGGTCTAGATTTAATCACAGACTATAACTTCAGTTCTCATATCCGTGACCCCAATTTCCCCTTGATTATCTGCTGCTATCCTTTTTTCCTTTTTCAAAGGTGAATTGAACATAATCCCTGGGAGACATTTGTCTTCTTTTGAGTTTTCCAATAAAAAGAACATGGAGAACCAAATGTGGTATCACACGCGTGTGTGTGTAGGAGTGTCTAGCCCAATACTCTTTGAAACTCTGGGCCAGAGCCTTTTAGCCTGTGGCTGAGGACTGCATGTATCCAAATTTGCTAGGGTAATTGTTTAAAATGCTGGGCTAATTATTTAAACTCCTACCTGTTGTATAGTAAATCAGAATTTTTGTGGTTTCCTCTACAGAGTCTGAATTTTAAGCACAGATTACATTTTGGATTTGGTACTAGGAATAGAACTCAGGATCTTACACTTGCCAGGAAGGTACTTGTGCCACTGAGCTAAATCCCCAACCTAAGCACAAATTACAGATGCTTCTTATACCCAATAAAGTTAGAGGACCAACTCTTTTAAGATTTGGGAATCTTGAGTGATAATTTTGAACCATACATTATGGTGTTAAATTGTAAATGCCAATTTGAAAATGTTCTTTAATGCAAATATATTGGAGTCTCTACTGTGCTTTCCTCGTACAGCACATTGCTAACATGTATTATCGGTCTCACGGCTGTCTCAGCCATATGCAAATAATTTTTGGAAAAGCTAATGTTCTCATTTTACAGAGACAAAGACCACACATACACCAGTAAAATACTCTTACATCCTTCGCTCCTTCTTTCATCTTAATTGCAGATTTCTACATGCCCAAAACCTATTCTGAAATCTTCCCTGATTTATTATACTGACTTTGTTTGGAATTAAAGAAATAGCCGAGCTGCACAGCCCATGCAGCTACGCAGCTGTCATAAATCGAGTGGCTTACTGTGGTCGCCGCAGCGCGGAGGTGGTTCCCGGAGATTCGTTCCTGCGTTGGAGCTGGGTTCCGGTGTGGTGGTGGCCAAGGTGCTGGAACTGTGAAGACACACAGCCTGTCCTTACTGGATCTCTGAGTGGTTCCAGCGAGAGGGCCAGCGTAAAAGGACGCAAGCTGCAGGTCAGCGAGATAGCTCAGCAGACTAAGCACCTGCTTTGGCAAGCTCAGGTACCAGGGTTTGATCCCTAGTGTCCCATGCGGCGCCGGCCCTGGCCCTGGGGCTGATCTGGCAACTGAGTCCTGGCGTGGTGGCGCTCACCTGTAATCCCAGCACTGGGGAGGCTGAAAACAGGAGGATCACTAAAAGTATGAACCGCATAGTGAAACCCTGTACCAAATACAGAAGTGAAAATAAATAAACAAAATAATTAAATAATTAAAAACCATTAAAAAAAATGAAAGCTGCCTTTCCAGCTCTTTAGCTTCCTGTCTCGCCATATGGTTGCCTCTCATGCCCCCCTGTCCTGTGCCAGCTGTCACAGGGTGACACAGCTGGGAGGCCCTTGCAGAGCCAGCAAGGCTTTCCTGACCTCCAGGGCTGTGAGCTAAAGAAACTCTCTTCCAAGAATAAAGAGCCCAGAGCCAGTTTCATTGTTGTACCAGCAGGAAACAGCCTAATACTTGTCTGACTTCAAATAGGACAAAGTAGGTAGCTAACAGTAGAGACAGTGTGACGGAGGCAACAGTGTGGGTGCCCTAGGGGTCAGGCTTGAAATCCAGCTGGCCTCTGGCTACCGATGTGTGTGACATGTCATTCGGTGTCCCCCATATGTCTGACCTTGTGAAGTGGTACCCCAGGAAGTTGCTGCAGTTGTGAAATGGGGTGGGGTGTAGACATACTTACCATGCCCAGCATCTAGGAAGTCCTTCACTGGTAACATCCAATAGGCTTTACTCAATGTGTTGAGCAGGATTGCTTGCCACTTTCTAGGCTAAGCTAAAAAAATACATGTGTATCACCGTGGGTTTGGATTTGAGGCTGTACCCTGGATTGGTTTTAGCAGCGGCCTCACTTTGGGATATGTATTTCAAATCTGATTTATACGCAGATTACTGTGTGTTCACGTTGGAAGGACTTGGGGATCATCCTGGAGATGATGAGACGCCTTTTAAGCGCCAGATGAGAGAAAAGGCCTCCAGGAGGCAGCAGAGAGGGCTCCGGGCGGCAGGGCTCCTGGGCGCAAGGCTCAGGCGCGACGCTCAAGGGAAGCGTGGCCCTGGCCTTTCCAGAGAGGTCTGCTCTTCCGAGAGCTCTCAGCCTGCTTCTGGTTTGTGTTAGCGGTGGCAGCGTAAAGCCCAGCAGAAGAGACGCTGCGAAGTCTCTCCACTGTCAGCTGGAAATCTAAGCGTTGTGTCTTTTCTCCTCCCTAACCTGACTCTTCATGAGTGCTCTGTGAGCTTCTGGGAATCAGTTGCTTAAAGGGTGTCTTTAACTTTCTACATTTAATCCATTCAGCTGACACATGACTCAGTCCTCTCTGACCCTCATCCTCACTGGTAGATGTTTCCGAGGTTGTCTAAGGGTGCAGAAGGGAGCAGTTCCACTCTATCTTCCTACACGTTTCTCCCCATGCATATGGATGCTTGAAGTTCCCAGAGTTCCATTGTCTGTGCTCTGGTTTCACCGGTCTCCCTTCTGCTCCGGGAGCAGCATGCTGTCCCCACCACAGGCCTCACACACCATCTGCTTGTCCCTTTCACACTCAGCACCTTGTCACCCTTCAGAGCGCTGTCCCCACACCGATTCCTCAAGAGAGGATCCCTTCCCCCCAGCCCGGGCCACTTTGGCAGCGGCTGCTCTATTCCCTGAGGACCTTGTCTTTTTCCTTGGTATTGTGTCTCATAATCATCGTGGAATGCGTCCTATCCTCCCTTACCCAGGGGCTGTGTTTGTGTTGCACACAGCTCTCTCCCCCTGCCTGGCACCTTAGAGTGCACTAGGTGAAAAGTACAAAGGTGTGGCAGATGCACACTTGTTGTGAACGTGCTTCGCACTCAGCTGCTGTTACAGATACTACCAGGCCTTTCCTGTACAAAGGCAAGTGGCTGGAGATAGAATGGCACAGTGACTTGGAACTCTGACACTAGTCCCCAGCTGTCACCCACTCTGTTGTGAACTGTGACTGAAGAGCCGCTGGGCACACAAGCTGATTGTGACATGCAGATGTGGCTAACTCATGGATGTCAGGACCTGCAGTACCCCGCAGGCAGATGACTGTGGGAAGATAGAGGAGGAGCCAGGGCTGGGGCAGGGGCAGTCTGAGACCTGGGGCACAGAGAGTGTGGCACTGTGTGGCCCCTGGGGAGCAGCTGGCAGCACCAGCAAGGAGCTGGGAGTTCAAGATTAGGCACTGGTCTTGATAAGGGCTGAAAGCAGATGTGCACCACTCAATCTCTTCTATTCACTGGCTGCAGCCTCCATTGGATGCCAGTAGAAAGGCACAAGCCCAGTCTCTCTGTGTTCATTTTTCTGATCTCCTAGTGGTGGCTGAGGCCACTGTGGAGCTGTTGCCTATTACAATTTAGCTGGATTTTTCAAGAAGGTGACCTTGCAATGGTTTGAATGTCTTTCTGATCTGACCTCAGTGCCAGCTGTGGCCACCACTTTTCCAGGAGCCTGGTTCCTCATCTGTGACATGGGTCTACAGTAATGATGACCTCACCTGACAGTGCTGCGCAGACTGGAGCACCCCCCTGTGTCCCATGTGTGGCGTGGACTTCTGAGGCACTGCAGAGCCATGGGGATCTGTCCTGGGTTTTGTCCACAGAGGCCTGGACTGATAGTGGTGACCTGGGATGCCAGGCTTGCTGTGACCAGCCCCATATTCTCTGACCCCATGAGCTGTCTGGGTTACAGGAACAGTGCCCACCTCCTGAGTGCTGTGAGGCTTAAACCCATCTGCCTCCCTTCACAACCAACGCACAAGACAGAGTGCATCTTGATTCCGGAGGGCTGTTAGCAGAGGCTGGCCTGCACCCTGTGACTGCGTACTGCCAGCCTTAGTAACTGCAGTGCTTACCTGGGGCTGGTGGCTGCCACCTTAGGCAGTTCCTTTCTCCCTTAAAAACCTCTGGGCTCCCCCTCCTCCGCTCCTTCCAGGGGCTCTAGCCACGCTGATGATTTCACCCCCTTTTGCATTAAAGTGAGGTCCGAAGATAGCATCTGACTGCTAACTACATCGGGGGATTTGGAAAGGCCCTGGCCCTCCACGGCAGTTGGCACTCTCAAGCACACACTCCTCTGCACTTAGGGTTCTCTATCCCGTCCCTGAGCCAGGAGGAAGGCTAGAGCTCAGAGATGATGGTAAGAGTACACTGGTGTCCCCAGACCACGGCTGCGCACTGAGGAGCCCTCCTTGCAGCAAGCTTCCTCGATGAGACAGCCAGCTTATGTGACTCGGCCTGCTGTGTGTGTGTGTGTGTGTGTGTGTGTGCGCGCGCGCGTGTGCGCTCGTGTACATAACTCATTCCTTGGAATTCTCCCATGGAAAAGCAAAGGAAGGAAGTGAGGGGAGGATGGGGCGATCGCATCCTGTACCCTAGTGGGGCGTGGCCACGACGTCTCGGCCAAAGGGACACAATCCAGAGTGTTTTCCACTTAGGATGCCTGAGCAGAGATAAGCCTTGGGGAGGGCCAGGAGGGCTGGAAGGTCCTTCTTAGTGGGACAGGAGACTCTAGGAAGCCACCCGCTCATACCCTTGCTGGAATTTATTTCTAGAAGGTTAGAGAAGAAAAGGCCTCCAGAGCCCCCTTAGGACACCAGGAGCTGCAGACTTCAGTGCTGGCCACTACTATGAATGAAATGGCCAGGCGGCTGAGTCTGTGAGGACTCGGAAGAGGACGTGACCAGTGACTTAGTGCCGCTTCCCAAACCCAGTGGAGATGCTGGAGTCGCTGGTGAGGGCAGGCAGGACCGCTGTGGGGCTGGAGGAGGTAAGATGCAAGAGAACGCTGCGGAGGAATTCCGTTACCTGAGTCCCTTACACTGTACTTTCTGAAACTGGAGCTCTCCAGATTTACAGCCCTTTCTGCCTGTCTCTTGGTCAGGTGTTTAACCTGTGTCCTCCCCGGCATGGCTAGAAGGGTGGCTCACAAACTTGGTGGTGTCACTTGACACCAGACACAGCAGAGCTGGGGTGGAAGTGTGCGGAAGCTGGCTTTGAATGTGCAGCTCCTGCTGGCTTGTCTGAGGGCCTCTCCGCAATGTTAGGCTCAGGCTGTGCTTGCAGGAATGCTTTTGCAAACGGCATTAGACTGAGCCTAAACATGGTGCCTGGCAGGGTTTCTTCCCCTTGGAAAACTAAAGATTTTGGATGAAATTTATGTATGTATGTATGCATGCATACATGTATGTATTTAGTACAGGGTCTACAGGGTTTCACTCCACAGATTGGACTCATAGTGATGCTCTTGTTTTCAGCCTCCAAAGCACTGGGATTACAGGCGGGCACCTCCACGCCCAGTCTCAATTCCTGTGTCAATATGCCCTGTGGGTGGGGCCGGCCTGCCATGCTGGGGAGCAAACCCAGATCCCTGCGTCTGCCTAAGCAGGTGCTCTAATGGCTGGCCCTTGGATGAAATTTACAGCCCTTATTTCAGAGAATAAGATGTTAAAACGTTTACTTTCAAAGTCAAGCATCTATGGGCAAGTAGTCACAAAGAGTCATGTTCTAGAGACTTGTGTTGTACTGACTGTCTTACAGCAGAACTTTGGGAATAAAGATGTGGTTTTTAGGTACATCTCTGTGGCAACTGCAGCAAGCTGTGTTTTCTGTGTTCCTAACATGGACTAGCATGCATCTGCTACAGTTAACCATTTGAAACTTGTTACAAATTAGTGTTGTCTAATGCAAATTTTTATTTTGGGTATAAAATGCCAGTCAGAGGTGCTGGTGGGAGCAGGAGTGTTACTTTTACTGCCATGTGGGAGGCTGTTTGTATTTAGTGGCCTGGAGCCAGGGTGGTGACCATGTGTGCAGGAGACGCCCTCCAAGGAACCCTGCGCTTCAATGATGGGGTGACTTCACTAAGCTCAGTTTACCAAGTAATTAAAAGCTGATGCTTTAGTGGAGATTCAGGTGAGCAGTCTAATTCCTGACAAGGTGGCTTCCTCTTTGGGGAGTGGCCCACAGGAAGGGGGCACTTCTGTGAAATTATTCTTTAAGATCAGTTAGCAATAAATGTTTCACAGGCTTCAAACGTTTTCATGCTGGCTTTTGCTTGGCTCCAGCAAATGCTCGATTCAGTTCCCTAAGAGTAGGCTCCTTCTTTAAACACAGTTAGGGCTGCAGCTCCCCACCCGTATCACACAAGCTCCCAAGAGCAGAGGAATTACTGGCCCCTAACCAGGGGACCTTTCCGTGGCGAACATTACATGGTAATGGTTTGTCCACTTCTCAGAGGCTTCTGCTTTAGAAAGTGCAGGGTGAAAGTAACAGCCCAGGACAGTTTGCTTTCAAACTTCACTTAGTATACAAGGGATTATCTCCAAGTAACAGTTCAGTATATACATGGTATTTTTTTTAAATGATTAGAGGAGAGAAAGAAGGCGATGTACCAAACCCACACTGTTATTCCAGGAAAATTTGTCCGACCGGATCCTCCAGTGAACACTGCAGTCAGGGCCCTTGTGTGTTTGTGAGTGTAGAGGAGAGCACCTCTGCTAATGCCAGCTCAAGCCAGGCTTGAAGCTCAGTGGCAGAAATTGAGCTCTGGGGGACCTCCGTGGAAGACCTGGGCGGTGTGGAGAGCATTCGCGCAGAGCTATGGGGTGACAAACTCCCCGCTGTGGTTCACAGTCAATGGCTTCCCCTGACTGCCTGGGCTTTTGGCAGCTGTTAATTAAGAAAACAGAATTGAAATTGAAAAAGAGCAGAATTTCAGAAAACATAAACACACTTCTCTTTTGACATGTATATTTATGAAAAATTAGACTACAATACAGTTTAAGAGAACAAGGGTGAAGAACTGTGCTTTTAGGTATTAAAGTAAAAATAGAGCTTTCCTCCAAAGAAGGAAGGAAGGCAGATAAAAACTGTAAAACCTCGACTCCGCTCCTACCAGGCTCAGGCGCTCTTCCTGCACTCCGAGCCAGCCGCTCCTGTCACTATTTCCTAAGCAAGACCGGCCACGGGTTATGAGTTTAAAGAAATTAAAAAATAAAATAAAATCAGCAAGTTCAAGAAACGGAGTTTACCGCCACCCTCCATGTCCTGTAACCTAGAGGCTGCGCCTGGTAGTGTCAGTACCAAGTACTGCATGGTTGTCCCCAAAAGCACAAGATGCTGTTCGCTCGGCGAATAAAAAGCCCGCGGCACGCAGGGCGGCGTTGCGGAAGTACAGGCGTCAGGGTTTCCTGAGCTACTGAGGGCGGAGAATCGCGGCTCGGTACTGTGACCCCTGAAGGCCACTGAGCGAGGTCAGGGATGGCGCTGCGGCTGCACCGAGGGCCGCAGTGCTGTTTGTGGCTTCATCTCAGTGTGCCTCTGCGCAGGAAGGGCGGCGCCGGAGGTCGGGCTGCACAGGGCTGCAGTGCGCGTGCTCCCGGCCGAGCTGCGAGGGTCCTCCTGCCCTCCTGCGCCCCTCGGCACACAGCGGGCGCCATGGCCTTGCGTTGTTCAGCGCGGGGCATGTCACTTCCCTCTCTTCTGTCCCCCTGCCTGTCCATCCTCCTCGGGGTGGTCCCAGGCTCTCCGCTGTGGTCAGAGTGGGCGGTGCGGGAGCCGTGCGCGAGGGGTGCACGGTCCAGGGCACGGCCGGCGCTGTGCACTGACTCGCCCCGCGGCTCTGCGTTGGCTCCCTTGTGACAGCGCTTTCCGCCTCCAGGAAGCGCGGGTCTAGATCCCTGACTCTAGGCTGTTCCGTTAAGCACTCATTTTGTCACAGGAGAAAACTGCAGAAAGAGCAGAGAGAAGACACACTTAGACCACGTTAGCAAACACACGCCGAGTGTTTCTGTTGAACACAGATGATCAAAGACCGAGAGGGCTTGAGGAGGAATCCACTGCAAACGCAGGACCGGGGCAGCATGTCTCGGCTCCCTGGCGGCTCCCTGCTTCCTTCACAGAGGCCAGGCTTCATTCCACCTGGGCTCAGAGCGGCCTCAGGACAGGGCCGCCCACCGGCCCAGGGGCTGCTGTAGCTGCATCCCCTCCTCCGCCCTCCACCCCGTGCTCTCTGGCTCCTTGGTGGCCACAAAGATGTCACGATTCTACCTCTGGGCTTTAGCTCAGCTGAACTATTTGTCTGGAAGTGTCCCCAGGAAGGATCAAGCTCAGCCCCTCCCTCCAGTTGCTGTGTGTCTCCAGTATGCGCTCAGTGAGGCCTCCTCCCATCGCTCCAGTGAGAACTGTGGGGGTTCCTCCTCGCAGCTGGGCAACTTCCTCCCGCAGCTCCGTCGCCTTCCGGCGCAGCGCGCTGTCTTACCTACTTGCAGGTCTGGTGCTCTGTCTGTCTTCTCTGCAGAGACACCACGTGCTCGCCAAGGAATGTTTACAGGCTTTTGGAAGAGGTCTCTGTCTTGTTCAGAGCAGAGAGAGAGGGGTCACTGTTAATCAGCCTTAGTAGATGATTCAGGAAGATCAATTTAAACTCCATCTTTTGAGCAAAAATACCCATTTAAAATTCATTTTTTAAAAAAGAAAAACTGTGTTTTTTAAAATTAAGAGTATTGGTACAGTTTAGACCTACCCAATGGGGAATTTGTGCCTGTGCACAAGGACGTGTCTTAGTTCCTCTCTCTTCCCTCTTTTTCTCTCCTCTCTTTAGCCCCTCCTCCTCTCCTTGTTTACAAAGCTTTGTTTCCCCTTTATCCTTTTTTCTCACCCCCCATTTCCCCTTGTTGAAATTTCTTCCTGTCTCTCAGTATCTGTTACACATTGTGGTTCTTATTTGCACTTTCAGTTTCTCACATCATAGAGACTTCCCTGGGAGAGCATCATCCTTAACCCACAGCTAATCCTGTGGTTTATGCCTTTATCTCCTCGGCTCAAACTCTTTGCTTCTTTCTTGGGGAAGGCGATTGACCAGAAGTAACTACGGGTTCAATAACAGAATTAATTGGAGTAGCCTTGCAGAATAATTTTGAAAAATTGGACAAAATCGCATCACGCTCACTAGAATACAGAAGGTGGAAAGATTTTCAAAAGTCCTCTTGGTTATTCTGCTCCCACAACACTCGCAAATCAGTGGGTGTGAAGATTAGGAGTGGGGAGCCTTCTGCGTGTGCTTAGCGGGATAGCCGGCCACACGGGGGAGCAGGCGCAGCCCTCCCTGGGTCTTCAGTTCAAGTTCCTTGCAGAAAGTGACATAGTGTTTGCCTGTTAAACCATCCCTGCATTTCTTACAATACCTGATGCAATGTAACTGCTGTAGAAAGAGTGTACTCCTTGTGGCATAATGACAGGGGACAGAGCCTGTACAAGTCCAGTACAGATGTAGTCCCCCCCCC